TTCGATTAATACTTTGTCTGACTTCAATTGATCAACCTATTCTTGCCAAGGGGTGTCCTCAGTTATAATAGGCTCTGTTAATGGGGGACCCAGGGTCATATTTATTGTGAGTAACAAAGGTACTGTCAGGTTAAAGTAGCGTGTATTAATTTTTGTAGGATACCTGTAACATGATATATTCCCTATGTAAATAGTTCCCTTACAGAGCAGTGTATATACCAGACTTGTACCTCATCTTTTGGCTCTAATGAGACAAAGCACACCTTTGTCTTCCATAAATCCTGTCTTAATTTATTGATTACACTGATCAATATTTCTTCTTTGTGTAGGATTGCTGAACTATGTGTCTTTCTGTGTCAAACCCTCCATTAATATATTGATCGTTCTCTGCATTTGTATCCCTTTGGAGTTTAACATACCCTCTGATTTGAGTGTTGTAGTCATAGTAGAGATGTCATTTGAATTTACAAATCTCAACCCGGTACCAACACCTCCTAGAACCATACCCAGGATATCCCTCCTATTCCTAGTCCTGCTTCTTGTCGCCCATCTGACTAAAGCCTTTTCAATAGTAGATGTGACCCTAAAACAGTTCTGAAAATGTAATGAAACTAGCCAATCTATTAATCTTATTTGCCAAGTGATCAATTGGAAAGTAGCATTCCTGACTATAGGTGTAGGTCTCAGTGAGCTGATTTGGGAAGGACCACTAGCGACTACTCTATTCTCCTGACACTCAGGTCTACTCCTATTATGCATTAGTGAAGGAGTTGTATGAATATAGGTAAAAGGAGGAGCCAGCTTTGTAGGATCTATAGCTTCCTCTATATTCAACAAGACCTTCACTTCTCCACCCCTAGTGTGTTCTATTGTTCCCCAATTTATCCCCTTTACGATAAATGTTTCCACTATAATTTGTGTTACTTGCTACTCTCTTATATTGCTGTTAACATTATAAATAGAGTTAGTAACGTTTGATTCCAGATTAATATTTTCACCCTCCAAATATACCACCCATTTTCCCCAACCAGTCCATTTACATTGCCAAAGTATCTCATTTCCCTTATCGTCTTTCCAGAATCCCTTGATGGAATCATGTTGTTTTATTCCAACTATCTCAACCACTCACCCAAAATCAAATAACACATCCACACATGGAACTTGTAGATTGTCACTGCTCCAAATCCTAGTCCATCCAGATATATTGTGTCCATAGTTCCCTCTACGGTACCTGCTTAGAGGAGTAGTATTTAATTGGGAACCACTTTTTGTTAAGTCATCCAAATCCTTTAGAATCTAACAAAACCAGAGTGCCTCCTGGGAGAAGAGGGATTGCACTGGAAGGGAATGGAGGAGAAGTTTATCAACATTTTTACCTGGTGAAAGGACATGTGCTTCACAGAGGACTCCATTATTGCCTAAGGCTAGAATGGGACTTGAATACCTGTATAGAACACAACACTTCATTGGCATACAGTTTGGCTGTTAATCAGTCACCCCACTTATTACAGTTATGACCAAAAGGCTGCATCTTCACACACTTATAGTGGAACGCATACCGAAGCAAAGTGGAACGCACGCGGTGAATCTCCCCGATGGGCATTTAACAACAAGGACTCTGAAGTTGACTCTGAAGACGGCTCCGATGAGACAGCATTTCTAGAGTAAAAAATATATATATTACAATATCCCAGTGAGTAATGCCCATAGTGGTATATACTCTAACACCTTAGTGGGTTTCCCCTTTAGCCCCACAGCAAACAGAAATGTACATACAATACAAGGTGGAGTATCTGTCTTATGGAATAGAAATGTTCCTGGATCGTTCTTCCTAAGGTTAAAACATAAGAAGAAAAAAATAGTGCAATATAGCCAATATTAAATGGTAAAGTGTAGTAGTAGGTAGAAAAGCACCCAGACAAAGAGCCAATTATTTAGGCTCAGGTATCCAGCTTGGTGGGTTCTAGAGGGACCCACTCCCTTCTTTGGACTGGTAGGAGGTCTCAAACAGTAGAATGTCCTCACAGTTTGCAGTATAGGTATAAAGTGCTTTATTAAAAAGTGCAAAATAAATATAAATAGAATAAAATAAATAAATAAAAAACCTTACAATTTCGAAGGTAAGTCCTTATGTAAAGTCTTTTGATGTGCAAAACACGTTTCGCCCCATTAAGAGGCTTCCTGAGTTGCTGGTAAGTCTTGTTTGTTAGTCCTTTTTAAATAGCTCTAATTTGGCGGTATTGCTTCTGTCCTTCCGTCCTCGACCTACATTCAATTAAGTTTTTACTTCCGCTTCCGGGTTTTTGTGTTCCACCGTGGAACGCATTCATCACGTGGTGCATGTTGGAACGCATACATGCGTTTCATAGCGTCAGTTCATTGCGAATGCGGTCCTCCGAGGCATATGGCACCAAGATAGTTCGCAATTTGCATACATAAAAAGCATTAAACAGGATAAATAAGTAAATAGAACATGTTTTTAAAAACCAATATATTTCTAAGGTTTTTCACAGAAAAGGGTGTTGTGTATAAAATAGTGGGCATTTTAGTAATAGAGGCAGTAGTGATTCCACATATATATACTGAATAAAAATTAAAAATAATACAATCAAATAAATATTATTATGCCTTATGAAGTAATCTAATTGTATTTACTTGCCTCTTAAAAAATATTTAATGGATAATATTAATAAAAAGAAAGGTTGCGTTTGTTTATAACAAATAAACAATATAGCCTACCTATAATAAAATACCAATAAAAAAATTGAACACAATGTGAAAAAGGAATCTGGTAAGATCATCTAAAAATAATTATTACAAAACAGGGATGGTCTATTTATTTAAATATAATTAAATATGGGGGGAATGTTGTAAAGATAATTATTTTTTATATGTATATTGAGAGTATTTAAATTATTTAAATTAAAAAAAAAAATTAAAATGACAAACTTCAAAGTCAGAGTTCAGACTGTAAGGGATAAGAGTCTTAAAATAAAAAATAAATCTAATTTCTTCCTTTCCTAATATTTCAATATAATTCCCCCCTCTCCAGTCTCTTTTAACTTCTTTTATTGCACAGAAAAACAAGCTCTCAGGATTTTGATTATGGTCTTGTTTAAAATGTAGTGACACACTATGAGGTTCTAAACCATTTTTTATATTTCTAATATGTTCTGCAATCCTAACCTTTAGTGGCCGAATTGTCCTGCCTATATACAGTAAGTTGCATGGGCATTTTAAAATGTATGTAATTCCCTTTGAATGGCAGGTTAAATTATCATTTATACTGTACGTTTTTTAATTATATTCTCTATATCCTTTCGATGTCTCCTTTTACATTTTGTTATTTTACAAGGGAGGCATATGCAGCATCCATAAAATCCTTTTAATTCTTGAATAAAGCGCTTTGGCTTTTTAGGTGTTAAATTACTTTTAACTAAAATACTTTTAAAATTCTTAACTCCTCTATATATTATTTTTGATGGTAAAATCTTATTTAAAACAAGGTCATCCTTTAGCAAATGTAAATGTTTTTTAATGTTTCCGTCCATTGTATCCATTAAAATTACAGATGAAGGGGATTTAATTCGTCTGAGTTGTTATTGTTTTTTGCTTATATTTTATGAGATTTTTTCTTTGTAATTTTCCTATTTCCTCTGCTTCTTTCTCTAAGATTGTTTTATCATACCCTTTTTCAATAAATTGTTTTTTAATATAATTGGCCTCTTCGAGGTGGTCAGAATCTAATTTGCAATTTCGCCGAATTCTTAAAAATTGACTTTTAGTGGCATTATTAAGCCACGGGTTAAAACGACAACTTGTTTTTTCGATATAACTGTTTGCATCGACAGGCTTACAGTAAGTTTTAGTTATTATTGTTGACTCGTGGATACTAATGTGCAAATCTAAAAACTCAATTTCCAATTTGCTGTTTTGGCTGGTTAAATAAATTCCGTAATTATTGGTATTTAAATATGAAATAAAATCTTGAAGTTCCTCTGTGGTATCGGTCCATATAAAAAAGATATCATCTATGAATCAACAATAGGACATCAAGCTCCTCCCCCATCGGTTGCCCTGTAACACAAATGTTTCTTCCCAGAAAGCCATAAAAAGGTTGACGTAGCTGGGGGCAAACTTGGTGCCCATTGCCATGCCGCAGATCTGAAGATAAAATGTATTTTCAAACCAAAAATAGTTATTGGTTAAAATGAGTAAAATCCCTTCTAAAATGAAATTAATTTGTTCCGTCTTAAAACCAGATTTTTCTAAAAAATGTTTGACGGCTGATATTCCTTTGTCATGTGGAATGATACTATACAATGAGGTTACATCACATGTAACCATTCGATATCCATCCACCCATTTTGTTTCTTCTAAAATCTGTAAAATATGGATGGTGTCCTTAAGATAAGAAGGATTTTTAATGACTATCGGCTGGAGTAAAGTGTCGATGTATTCTGAGATTCTTGTGGAAATTGAGTGTATACTGATATAATGGGTCTTCCCGGTGGGTTTTCTATATTCTTATGAACCTTCGGTAAAGTGTAGAAGACTGGTATTTTTGGATTGTCTGCTAGCATATACTCTGCTTCCTTGTCAGTGAGGATTCCTAAGTCTTTTCCTTTCTTTATATATTCTTTAAAAATCGTAATGATATCTTGTGTGGGGTTATGGGTAAGTTTCTGGTAGGTGGAGGGGTCCGAGAGAATTCTCTGTTGTTTCAAATGATTTAATTTCACTTGAAATAAGGTGCCTGGGAAAGAATTTTGATTTCTCTTTAAGAGATGTGTGATGGTATTCATCTTCTTCCATCATTGGGTCATTTTTCTCCCCTTTACTAAAAAATTTCTTAAGGCACAATTTCCTTATAAAAAGGTTCATATCCACATAAAAATCAAAGGAGTTAAAATCAGCAGTTGGGGCAAACTTAAGACCTTTCTTAAAAATATTAATCTGTTCTTTTGTTAAAGTTTGACCTGTAAGATTGAAAATCCCTTCTAGATTGAAGTCTTCCCTCTCTTCTCTCTGTGTTGTTTCTTTCTTTCTTCTCTTTCTCCTTCTTCTTCTAGTGAGCGTTGTCTTTTTCCCAGTATCTCCTGAGGTTGAGTGTTGTCTATCAGTTTCCTTCTGTTTTGGATAAGGTCCCTCCGGAAAAAAGAAGGGGAGGGTGGGGTGTCTAGGGGTGGGGAAGTACTTCTACTACGATTTATTACAGTAATTTGTCTTTCTTTCGGGGAATGCGTAATGTTATAGTTGTCTGGGGCTTTATCTGGGTGTTTACTTTGTGTGCCTTCTTTTACTACATCACTGTATTTTCTAATGGGTTCATAGGTAGTCTGGTGTTGTCTCTTATGTGTTGGTATATGATGATGATATTGAGAAGTTTCATGTGTTCTATGGTAATGGGATGCTCTGTGTATATTATCTTTTTTAGGGGGTTCTTGTTCTGCATTCCTTTCTAAATTTCCTCTATATGATGATCTTCTATTTCTTTCCCATGTTGTGTTCCTTTTTGGGTCTTTCCCATTGATATCTTTTAATTGGTGACTGTTGAAAGTTGGTTTTCTGGGAATAAGAATTTATTTTAAAACGGGTATTTTTCAATTGTTTATTGTTTTTCCAAATAGTCCTTACATTACCTGATTGGTAGTCATTGGTGTCTCTAAAATACTTTTTCTTTTTAATTTTACTCACATCAATTTAAATTTTTTTCTACGTTTGCCTTAATTTCCCTAAGGGTCATGCTATACATTTCAGGGCTTGTGGACTCCGCTAGATTGTTTTTCCATTTATTAATCTCTTCATCTAATTTGGGGAGAGTTTCCTCTCTCCGGGCCACTATGTAGCACATCATGCTAAAGGAAAATCCATCAAGGAGTTTATTCCAGCCTACCATAAAATGGGGTTCTTCTCTGTCAAAGCTGGGATCTTTAAAAAATCTTAGCCTTCCTGGGGTGATTTGGTCCCGGACATATTTCTTAAGGGTTGCTATCTCCCATTTAATTTTCATTTCTCTAATAAGAGCTTTTTCTAACTTAAATCTAGACCTACTTTTGTCGTTATACTGGGGGGGTTGGATTTTCCCCTACATTGGTTTCAAAACACATATCAATGTTTTTTGTACGATATTCTCTATTTTCTATGAATGACATATTGGTAAATAGCTCACTTCAAATACTGGAAGGGAAATGCCTCTACTGCCTCTATTACTAAAATGCCCACTATTTTATACACAACACCCTTTTCTGTGAAAAACCTTAGAAATATATTGGTTTTTAAAAACATGTTCTATTTACTTATATATCCTGTTTAATGCTTTTTATGTATGCAAATTGCGAACTATCATGGTGCCATATGCCTCGGAGGACCGCATTCGCAATGAACTGATACTATGAAACGCATGTATGCGTTCCAACATGCACCACGTGATGAGTGCGTTCAACAGTGGAACGCAAAAATCCGGAAGCGGAAGTAAAAACTTAATTGAATGTCGGCCAAGGACGGAAGGACAGAAGCAATACCGCCAAATTAGAGCTGTTTAAAAAGGACTAACGAACAAGACTTACCAGCAACTGAGGAAGCCTCTTAATGGGGCGAAACGCGTTTTGCACTTCAAAAGACTTTACATAAGGACTTACCTTCGAAATTGTAAGGTTTTTTTATTTATTTATTTTATTCTATTTATATTTATTTTGCACTTTTTAATAAAGCACTTTGTACCTATACTGCAAACTGTGAGGACATTCTACTGTTTGAGACCTCCTACCAGTCCAAAGAAGGGAGTGGGTCCCTCTAGAACCCACCAAGCTGGATACCTGAGCCTAAATAAGTGGCTCTTTGTCTGAGTGCTTTTCTACCTACTACTACACTTTACCATTTAATATTGGCTATGTTGCACTATTTTTTTCTACTTATGTTTTAACCTTAGGAAGAACGATCCAGGAACATTTCTATTCCATAAGACAGATACTTCACCTTGTATTGTATGAGCATTTCTAGAGTATCCAGACCGCTGGGAGGAAGATACCAAAGGAAGGTTCCCTTACTTTTATGCTATCTGTGATCAAATTTTTTATTTCATATTTTGTACACGTATATTTTTTAGTTCAATAAAGTATTTTTATAAGAAGAACTTCATGCCTCTGAACTATATATCATACAGTTCAATGATTGATATCAGAAGATCAAATTCCAGGATTGTCACTGATAATAGATGTAGAACTGTCTATCTCACACTTCTATATATATATAAGATTCCTCTGCAATTTTTTATGTACCATACTACTATTGACTGAAATACTATTTTGCTACTAGAGTATATATAGCTCACATTGGCCAGTTCCCCTGCTGTTTTCATAGAGAGTATACAAGCCAAACTCTATATACATGAGCATACAGTGAAAGGACACTTTTGGATTGATTACAGACCTATGATCCCTATTTATTATCTGAACTGAAACTGTGAACGATTTCTGCATGCACTGATACAGTGTATATTTTTTCATTGAGATACATTTACCTAGCTGTGACTAAGGTCTTTTTATACTTATGCATGGTGCATTGATAGGATTGTATTCAACCAAAGAATAAACTATTTAAGTTAAAGGACCACTATAGTGCCATGAAAACATACTCGTTTTCCTGGCACTACAGTGTCCTGAGGGTGCCCCCACCCTCAGGGTCCCCCTCCCGCCGGGCTCTGGGGGGAGGAAGGGGTTAACATTTTACCTTTCTCCAGTGCCGGGCGTGGAGCTCTCCTCCTCCTCTCTTCCTTCATAGCGACGTCATCGGCTGATTTTCACAGTGAGAAGCACGCAAGCACCTCTAGCGGCTGTCAATGAGACAGCCACTAGAGGCTCTAGAGGTTGGATTAACCATATTAGAAACATAGCAGTTTCTCTGAAACTGCTATGTTTATTTAAAAAAAAAGGGTTAACCCTAGCTGGACCAGGCACCCAGACCACTTCATTAAGCCTATAGTGATCCTTTAACTCATATTAATATATATATATATATATATATTTATCATTAACACTTTGAGTGTTGGTATCCACTCCTGGTTCTAGCAATTAGATTGTTTTCTCTTTGCTTTTCCTCTTTTTAATGACCAAAATAAAGATGTGGAACTGCACTCATTCCCAAGTAGTATGTATCCGGGTGCAACCAGGCCAGTCCCAGTACCAGGAATCAAACATATGATAAGGAGAGAATAGAAAATGGTCCAGGCACTCTTAAATACAAAAAAGGCAAATTTATTGAACCCACTGCCACTCACAACGTTTCGACCAACACGGTTTTAGTCAGCTTGACAAAGTCCGTGTAAGTCGAAAAGTTGTAAATGGCAGTGGGTTCAATAAATTTGCCATTTTTGTATCTTGGAGTTCCTGGACCATTTTCTATTCTCTCCTTACCCCACTTATTACAGTCATAAAACAAGCATTTATATAAGAAATACATCTTGAATCTTTCCCATTTTTAACATCACCTGCCTCATAACAAAACCCATTTTTTTTTTCAAGAACCATACCCATTTATCTGTAAAGATACTTTATTGTCCATTCAAATGTCCACCATTGAGCACATGCATCACCAGTTGGGAAACCTTAGCCTAATTTAGGCATATACCCATCCTTATAATAGTGAACAACTGAAACATGTTTATATTAGATTAACCAATAATATTCTATTCATGTAAGGATGTGAGGTGGAGCTTAATATAGTATTAGACATAACAAACCTATAACACGTGTAACTCATGACACAGTCACCGGAGCTGGATTCCTGCAGTCTATGGCTGGTCTGTATGCCTGACATTTCACAAACATTAATCCTGCAAACCGGATACTGTTTTTTTTTTTTAAGTCTCATAGAACTTGACAAATGGAGATAGAGATGAAATAAATCATTTAGCAAACAGAGACATGGGATATTGGAAAACAACAGTTCATGTGTGCAGAGACTTTGGTGTCCTTTGTGGTTACTTAGAGATTTTTCTTTATTCCATTTACTACCTTGATGTAGCACAGTATCCTACTCTTGATGCATTATTTTACCTACGCTCATCACTCTCAGCTGAAGTATTTTTTCTCACAACGACAATTGTGTTTAGTGTCCAGAGCTTCTTCTTCTGGCTCATGAGTTGCAATAAAATCTCCTTGCTAGAAAGTTCTTGAATGAAAACACAGGCAATGACGAACACAAACATAAATGGCAGATGACTTTGTGCCATTCATCACAAGTAACTATTTGATTGTGGTATCTTAACTATATTTTACCCAATGGAGATAGGGTAAATGCCTACACCTCTCCTGAGAATTCTCTCTTCACATCCAGTGCACGCCTGATTCACAGATAAACACAATATAACCTCTGTATGTCATCGATTTAACTTAAACACCCACCAATACAAAATAAAGTCCAATTCACCACCTTTACTATTTAAACATGTATAGTTTAACCCTAAGTGCCTAGTTTCTCATATCCCTCTTAACTTTAAATAGATATTGTGACTAGACCAATCTCGCCACTGTGCATTGGAGGAGCAAGGTTGCCTTTAGACTATGGCCCCATGTTGAAACGCTTGACTTTCCCCTGCGACGACACGAAAGCCGGGTCATTCGGTGCGTGCCCTGTTTGAGCGGTGATACCCCAGATAGCTATGCCATGGAGCCCATTCATATAATGAAAGTATATGGGAAAGACTTTGGCTCCATGGCAATTGAATTGTATGTGTGTGCTCTGAGCGCCATTCAATAATAATGTGCGCTCAGATCTGAGCTATCTGGGGACATGTTGAATGTACCTGTTTTGTGCAATGGCTGCACAGTTATATATTTGTATGTGTTTTATTGTCTTTTGCTGCCATGTGTTCAATGGAGTTTTGCCTCTGTCCTTGGAGATAATTGGATTACTTCCCAATTATCTCCAGGATAGAAGACTCTGGAACTGGTTTTGGGCAGAAAAGCCATACTTTATTTGGTCACAAAGGACTTCGATCTATCTTTTGAACCAATGGACCAATTTGGATGATTTTGACATATGTTTGTATTTGGAGTATGCTGATTCTGAAAATGTGAATGTGATGCATACTTTTCAAGTTATGAATAATGTGGAAAAACTGTATTTCTCTGCCGGTGATAATTACATTACCCATTGTGTAAGGTAATTGTATCACAGGCAGAGGGGAGGATTTTGTGTGGGAGTGTCTGAGTGTATTGTATGTGCTTATTGGTTGTTTTCCAAAACCCTGTGGGTGGTACTAATGTGTATATAAGAACAAT